GGGGGGGGGGCGGTGACCACAGGCTTGTGCATCGAGCTGGCCACTGGCCTGCTCTGGGCCTGTGCTGTCGGCCTCTACATGGGCCAGCTAGAGCTGGACGTGGAACTGGTGCCCAGTGAAGCAGGTGGCCGGAATGAGCAGCAGGGCCACAGGGAATGGCCTGGTGCTGGATGCTGTCCAAGGACCAGGACATTAAAACCTGACCCTTCCCCCGAAAAATAAATATATAAGATTCAAAGAGATTCTTCAAATATGGTACCTGGGGATGGGGACTGTAGGAAACAGTGATCCCTGGTACCAGCCAGAGTTTCGTTTTAGGCAGTTTCTCTGAAGTGCTGGGCTTTTTGCTACTTTATCCTTTCTTCAGACTCTTTTTCTTTCTACCTCTTTTGATTTTCCAAAGCGTGTATAATTCAGTGGCTTTTAGTACATTTACAGTGTTGTGCAAGCATCACCACTTCCTAATGACAGAATGCCTTCAACACCCATCCAGGCAGTTCACAGCTGTGCTTGCCTTGTCTTCCTGTTTGTGCAGTCAGCCAGAGGTGAGAGCTCAGGGCCTTTTCAAGTCTTTCCTGAGCGTGTGCCCAGCCCTGAGTAAGTGTGTGGGCTTCTAGATTCCCAGGAATATGTGAGTTTTCAAAGCCCCCATTCCCCAAGCATTTTATTCCTCATGCTTTCTTCCCAAGCTTTCAGTTTACATGTTGTCTGTACTAATCTATTATTCCTTGCCCCAGGTGGCAGTGGCTAATATATTTGCCTTTAAATGTTTTCACCAAACTCCTCTTCTTTCCCCCTGGTCCTCATCCCTAGGGGAGTTAGGCAGAATAAAGGCACACCCTTTGAAGGGATCTTTCAGGAAGTCAAGAAACAGGTCAAAACATATTAAGTACCTCTGCCACTAGGAACCCATAGCAGGAATGCAGTCTTGTCTTCATGGCTGCTGAGGAGCAGGGGATGGGGCCAGGGTAAGTTTAAGTGCCACAAAGTTCTATTACTGATATTCAACTATTTTTTTTCTTGATTACATGTTTGCCTGGTTGCTGTAAACTTTTGTTTCCATACTTCCAATAAAATCGATTCTGACAGTTTTTGCCAATTTATCCACTGCCTTTGTGGAGGGATGGGCTTTAGGAGTCCCTTACTTATATATTGGCTGATGTAGCCCTAATCAGTCTTATTTTAAAATATTGTTTATTATCAATACATTTTTAGTTGTAAGTGAAAGAAAACCCAACCCTAAACTAGCTTGAATGAAAGGTAGAGTATAGGATTCTGAATGGTTTAAACTGGGTTCAGATTCATTAGCATTTGATGTCTCTGAGCACCATATGGAGAGGGCAGGGGCAATGGTTTTAGCCTTGTATTCTCTCAACTTCCAAATTGTCGAGCTGCTTTTCTTGTGTTTCCTATAAAAGTCCTGAGGTTTACTCCTACTGGATATGATTGTCATGTGGTCACCCCTGAATCAATCACTATGGCCAAGGGAATGCTGTGCTCTGATTGACTTAGGCATGAGTCAGTTACTCCATCCATATGGTCAAGGGTGAGGCCTACTCCCAACACATGCACAGAGAATGGGAGATGGTAAAAAAGGGAGATCAGATGAGACTGAGGGGGAGACAGAAAGTATATGTCCTCTGTAGTAACCTTTAGGACATCCACATGATTCTTTCTAAAATGTTTCTAGTGTCTAGGGCCAAAAGAACCTAACATCTTGCAGCCTTATTACAAGATTGGAATACTAGTGAACTCTTTTGTCTTAAATTGGGATCATCTTGTGGAGTTCTAGAAACCCAAGAATATACTGAATTCTTGGAAACTTGTTGTAAAAGAATAATAAGATGCTTCAGTTGGGTGATTGAATCTTATTATTACAGATGTGAAAAAAGTTTCTTTGAAGCTAGAGATCTTCGTCAGCACATGAACAAACATCTTGGTGTGAAGCCATTCCAGTGCCAATATTGTGATAAGTGCTATAGTTGGAAGAAAGATTGGTATTCCCATGTGAAGTCTCATTCTGTCACTGAGCCTTACAGGTGGGTAAATTTGAGGAGAACCTGAACTTTACACATATATATTTGTATATATGTGTGTATATATATATATGTACTTGGATTAATTCTTATGGATACTGATGCTTTTAGTTTTTTTCTCCCTATTTAAGATGTAATATATGTGGCAAAGAATTTTATGAAAAAGCATTGTTCAGAAGGCATGTAAAAAAAGCCACCCATGGGAAAAAAGGAAGAGCAAAGCAAAACCTGGAACGGGTTTGTGAACGATGTGGAAGGAAATTCACTCAACTGAGAGAGTACAGGAGACACATGAACAATCATGAAGGTAACTGTACCTAGTATCATATATAATGTAGCTATATGTTATAGATAAATACATAGAGAGTAAAAGCCAATCCACTACTGATTCTCCCCTTATCAGCCCACTTGCTCATTACCTCACCTTCCTTAATAAGAGATGTACTCCATTATCATAGAAGTTTTTTCAAGTGATAGCGGTGATTCTGAACCTGAGTACCTAATTTAGTGAGCTTAATATTCTCTATCAATTCTCACTTTTTATGGACTCCTTGGAGCCTCTCTTCTCTCATCCTAGGATTATAAGGGTTGCTGTGAAGGTTAAGTGAGACCATGCAGGGAAACTCAGAATTGCCTCTTAGTAACTTCTCTCCGAGGGCACATCTTTAGAGAGATTATTGTGCAGAATCTGGTTTATTCTAAGGTAAACCATTAGGTCCTAGATAAAATATTGCCATAGTCAAGACAGAAAGGCTTATGGGCTACTGTATTTTAATAAAAGCATTATTTATCAGGCAACTTTAATATATTTTTGTACTTGCACCTCACCACATACACCTCTCCTCCTTCTTTTTTTAATAGGAGTTAAGCCATTTGAGTGCTTAACATGTGGAGTAGCCTGGGCTGATGCCCGATCTCTAAAACGCCACGTCAGAACACATACTGGTGAACGGCCCTATGTTTGTCCTGTGTGCAGTGAAGCCTACATAGATGCTCGAACACTCCGAAAACATATGACTAAATTCCACAGAGATTATGTGCCTTGCAAAATTATGCTGGAAAAAGATACTCTTCAGTTTCATAACCAAGGAACTCAAGTGGAGCATGCTGTTAGCATCTTAACAGCAGACATGCATGAACAGGAAAGCAGTGGTCCTCAAGAACTTGAGACTGTGGTAGTGACAGGAGAAACTATGGAAGCTCTTGAAGCCGTTGCAGCTACTGAAGAGTATCCATCTGTATCTACACTTTCTGACCAAAGTATTATGCAAGTGGTTAATTATGTGTTGGCACAACAGCAAGGACAGAAGTTATCTGAAGTTGCAGAAGCTATTCAAACTGTTGAAGTAGAGGTGGCACATATTTCAGAAGCAGAATGAATATAGTAATGGAGATTTTTTAAAGTGACATCTCACGTATACTGAACTCACAGAACGTTTGTTTACAATACTTTGTGACTCTCCGCCTAGACTTTGTATGTGAAGACTCTAGGCTGTTTGATGATGTTTTAGCATTTCTGAATGGTTTGTTTGGCTAAAGTCCATTTACTGTAAAGAAGTTGGAAACATCTGTTTAATGGTTTATCATGGTATACTTTTTATGAATTAATATTTGTAAAGGACTGCACTAAATGAAAAACTGTACAGTTTCATTTGCATTTTGACATATACTTTGAGTTTAAAGGCTGCAGCAGTCAGCTTTTCTTCTCTTTTATTCTCAAAATATAGAAGTTTTGTGATTTCATTTGCCCTTTTTATAGATTTAAAAAAATTGTTAATATAAAGCATTTTAGTAGGGTGCATAGGTATATTACATTTTTTAAATGCTCCAAATCTGTGATTCTTGACTTACTATTTATTTTAAGCCCTCATAAGTCAGGGATTCTTTATTTTGTTTTAAAGCACTTAATGAGTTACATGTTGTAATCAAGTTTGCACAGTATACTTATCTATATGGGGAACCCTTAAATGAATAGCTGATTTTAAATATGCCATTAAAATGCATGAAATGCCTATTCAAGCCTTACTATACTATCTCTTCAAGGCAAGTAAATAGACCATAAGAAAAGAACAGTTATTAAGCACTGTTGATGAAAAATTTCTCCTTGATGACATAGGGCAATACCTGGGGGTGGGGGTGGAAAGAATCTCGTTCTTTTGCTGAAAAATTAACAAGTTAAAACTAGGTTTAGTATGTTTGCAGCTTTTGTATCATGTTTTTTTGTTGTTTGTTTTCTTGTTTTGCTTTTTTGTATCATGTTTAATTGTTCAATTTTGTTGAAAAACTGCAGTTTAGAAATAGGACAACAATGTTGACATCTAGACTGGTCCTGTGGGTATCATATAATTGTACAAGTAATTCCAGAATATTGAAAAGTCTTCAGTTCTGCCCTCATTATAGTATACTGCTTAAGGAAATTAATTATAGTCCACCAAATTGTTTAAAGTAAATTATTTTAAAAAGTTATCTGAGAATTAAATTATATATTAATTTTTGGTTTTGATTTTTAAATTCCCACTTCCTTAAGCTATCCGGATAATCTTCTGATTTTCAAAATAACCATAGGGAGATGCCACATTTCTCTCCTCTTGGAAACTACCATTTGAGCTATAATTGTTAAAATGAAACATTTAAGTATTATAACTAATATAAGGTATAAAATTAAGATATAGGCAAATCACATGTAAATCATTCCTAAAGCACAAGAAAATAATGTGCCTTGATGTATATATATTATTAAGATACTTATTCCAGTTTACTTTAAAAATGGCTTAATAGATAAAGAATTAATGTGATGCCATGCATGCGTTATACTTGCACATGTAATATTTGCATTTGCAAATTTCCCAATGTTTCAATAGCTGTGTGGCTGACTTCAATTTTAAGTGAATTGACATACAGTCTGTAACTCTATAATGGCTGTTTGCTTATTGTATCTTTCAGTTAGTAAAATGTATTCCAACCTGATGAAAATTTGGAATTGTGTTTTTTATGTTCCATCCCCACCATTGTTAATAGGTTTAATTAATTGTATAAGGCCATTAATGTATGTCATAAATATGTAAATAAAAGATGTTAAATCTTGTTTAAAAGCATAAGCTATGGAGTTGAGCTGGTCACTATTTTTAATTCATAAATCAGTTGCTGTTATTTGATAGGTTATTAAGTTAACCTAATTTTAAAGGGAAGGGGAATTGAACACATTAAAAAAATAACCATTTGGGGAACACATAATAATATTAAAACTCCTTACTCTTAAACATAATCTAACCACAACATTTAAAGTAGTGTGATTAACTACCAACTTTGGATAATTTAAATGTGTAGAATTATGTAAATTATATGTAGAAACAAGTATTAAGGTTCCAAAAATTCACAGTTTTATATTACCATGGGGGGGGGACCTCTATTTTTAATTTAAAACAATTTCTTTTTAGAAACATGGTTTTGTTGTCAGATGACTTTCCCCAAACTGTGGATATCCCCTGGTTAAATTTACTTGTTACTACCCTAGCTACTAAGCAGTTTGTCATTGCTGTTAGTCACTGACTATGTATTGTTGATAGAAATGAATTAACTAATCCTCTAACATGGGCTTTAATTTGTCTTATTAAAAGCCAGGGGCTCCCTGCCCTATGGCTCAGTTGGCCGGAGCATCATTCCATACACCAAAAGGTGGTGGGTTGGATTCCCAGTGGGGGCACATACAGGGCACAACTGGTCAATCACATGAATGTTTCTCCCCCTTTCCTCTCTCTCTCAAATCAATAAATATATCCTCCAGGGATGATTTTTTTTAAAAGCCAATGGTTGTTTACAGAATTTCACAAGATTACCTGAACTGCTGGACTTAAAGCTAATCCAAATTTTGTGTCTTTTTAAAAAACTGCATTGATGTAAACTATCTGTGCATGGTGCTTCCTGCTCATGATTCTTTTCAAACCTGTAATCTCTTTGGAGGTTCCTAAATAGGAGTTTCACATCTACTGTTTGGAACATACACCAAAAAAGCTTCTGTCTCCCCGATCCTATAAATTTATCAGTTACAGTTTGTAGAGGCTTGTGGAGCAGAGATGTACAGATAACTTCTTTGTTTCTTTAATCACTTTAAATATACCATGCTTATTTTATAGTCTGTTATCTAAAGGTTTGACATGTACTACCGCTGTTTATTAGATTTTTCTTTAGGTGTTTTATATATTTTAGAATATGAGCTCATCTCTAACAGGGTCTTATCTTTGGGACTGCTGTGCCACCCACTTAAGGTTGAGGATGGGTGGGTGGGTCCTTTCAAATTGGTTTTGTTTCCCATTACTACAAGCATGGCCACAGCTTGGTACTATTTTTTTTTTGCTGTTGTTGTTGAGGGTATTACAGGTGTAGGTACTATTTTTATATTAATTTCTCAGACTCTGGTTTCCCAGACCAACAACTGTAACTTTGAACTTTAGACCAGTGCGAGGGCAAGCCCATCGTTCTGTCTTCAAGGGAAGTTTTGCCTGGGACAGATCTGCCACACGGCTGCTATGGTTCCAACTCAGTTTCCTTTTACTTGGGGACCCTAGGACATTCCCTGTCTTACAAACTCAGTAGAATGATTTCCAAAGTGACCCTGGCAATGCTGGCTTCAAGTCTACTTTGGCTACAATTAAAATAGCTACATTAGCTTTTTTGGCATTCATGTGGTACATTTTCCCATCCTTATGCTTTCAACCTGTTAATATTCTTAGATTTAAAGTGTAGCTCTTATCCAGGTTGCCAATCTTTGCCTTTTCATAGGAATATTTAGTCCAATTAAAAATATAATTATTGATATATTTGCTTATAAATCTGTCATTTTACTGTTTGGTGGGGTTTTTTGTTTTTGTAATGCCTGTTGTACATTCTTTTTCCTTTTTAAACATTCCATTCCCATTAGCTTGTTAGTTACATTAACTATTATTTTAGTAGTTTAGATATCACATTCAAGTTCTTGGCCATGTATTCTACTTCATGAACTGTAGAGCCACATAAGTTCAGATACATATCAACCCCATTCAATGGAAACAAAGGAAGTGAAATAGTTTATCAATCCCATACCAATGACACCTGTATACAATCAGACTTCATGATGACCCCATTCCCTCAAATATCCTAGTTCCCCTTGAAAACTAGCTCTGTGGATTCTCAGTCACCATCTCCCACTTACCTAAATTTTGGCTGAAGGTTTTTCTTAAACTTTAAAGGTTATCCTGTATATATTTGTCAATTTTGGGGGTGGGCGAGGGTGGCTCTTCAGCATCTACCTCTCTTCCAGGTACCTACATCTGCATCCCTAGTCATCTGGGATGCTTCTATTTCCCCCATCATTATTCAGCCACTGAATTCCTTAGCAATGTCTTTGTTCTGTCACTTCTATTCCATTACTGCTAATTACTGTTAACATATAAACTCATGCATGCAGCATACTACTGCTTGGTTTCTTAGCTTCCATACTTGCCCTATTTTCCTTTCTGTCTTACACACGACTTCCAGATGAATATTTGAAACTGCCCTTCAGCATGTAGCTCCCGTTTTCTAATGGCTCGTTATATAGCAAATAAATCACAATAGGAATGAAAGTAACTTTGTACGTGACACGAGGTGGCTGTTATCATAGTGTTGATCTATTTCAGCATGGTGACACTACCCAGTATCCCTTGTTTTGAGTTAGCAGGGGTCCTGGCCAGGTAGCTCAGTTGGTCAGAGCGTCGTCTGACAATCAAATCGGTTTCTCTCCCTCTCTAAAATCAACTTAAATTTTTATTTATTGATTTTAGGGAGAGAAAGGGAGACAGAAACATTGCTTTGTTGTTCCACTTAGTTATGCCTTCACTGGCTGCTTCTCGTATGCACCGACGGGATTGAACCCAGAGCACGGGTGTATCGGGACAATACTCTAACCGAGTTACCCAGCCGGGGCCTCTAAACTCAATTTTTTAAAAAAAAGACTTGGCACAGACTAGCAGCTGCTTCTTAAGTTACTCCTACTAGAGAAAGTAAGACCTGTAGTAAGAGTCATACTTATCATTCCTGATTTTATTTCTTGAAGCATAACACAGTCAATGCCTACAGAATTCAAATAGGATAGAATGAGAAGAAGCTTGTTTAGAATTAGCAGGGAGTGACATTTTCTTCTCAAAGTGGTCCTTTGAGAATATAACCACACTTAAATCCTGTTAGAGGAAATTGCTGATATATATATATCCACACACCATATATAACCCATCATTACAATAATGATGTTAATATTGGGGGAGTTACACCCAACTATTACTTCTATTTATGGTGGAGAGGTACCTTGTGAATCTGACACCTTGACTTTGTGAAAATAAACTTTGCCATTTTAGGTTCATAGCAAAACTGGAACAGTTGAGTTCCCACAGGCGCCATGCCCACACACATACTCCCTTTTCACTCTCCATTGCATCTTCAGTTAACTTGCTTTAATCATTTGCAAATATCTCAACATGCTCTTGCATTCTTTCAATGTTATTTTCTTTGCATTACTTGTGTTCTGCTGCTTGTGTTAATCTTTTTTCCCTTATAGTCAGGGTATAATAGATTATATATTCTATATACAGGGTTGGGCAAAAAAGGTTTACAGTTGTGAGTATACAAGTTTATTCTTATTATTGTATTATTTTCCATACAAACAACTATAAACCTTTTGCCCCACCCTGCATATTGTATAGAAACTTGGTTATTCAACTGTGATTTTGTTATGGAATTCTAAAAGTAGGAATAAAATAACTAACTGCAGGTATATGAAAGCGTGAGATCAAGACAATGCTAGATTCTGAGTGAAACTCATTTGCGGTGTGTGAACATAACATGTCAGTAACACACGAATTCAGGTAACTTCCTGAAGCATAGTGGCCATCCTTGGTATTTACATAGTACACAAATTTTTATTTTTTCTAAATAATAAGCAATGTAAATTCAATGGATATCGTAGACAAAATGCTCCCCAAAAGGACTTACTCTTAGAAAAAAACGAAGTACATGGGAACATATAAAAGTTCTTTGTCTATACGCAAAAATTAAGTGGATGTCTACTGTGATGTGGCTCGAGGCAGTCAGAAAATTCTCACATATCTGAAGCCCTAGCACGACAGCTACCCTAATTCACATTAGAGATACCTCTCCTGCCTACCCATTTCTCAATTATCAAAGTAATGTAGAATCAGTGTGGAAAACTTGGAAAAAAGAGTAAAATGAAAAGCAAAAGCTAAAAACAGTAATTATTGCTGACAATGGATCCCTATGGGAGTGGAGGGCTACATATCACCAGGGACTTTTCATGCAGAAGTCAAATCAAAGGGTTTCCAAAATGTCTTCATTGTGGTGATGGGCAGTTTAGTCCGCTGCTTTTTCTTGCAGCATCTGCACCTTCTCAAAGATTTGAAATTCAGCCTCCTGCAGTTGCTACTTCTGCTACACCTGAGAGTTCTCATGTTAACAAGTCTTTTTATTAAAGTTTTCCCTCGATACAATGCTGAAAAAGCCTTGGACAAAATTCAACACTTATTCCCAATAAAAGCACTTCAGAAAACAGGAATTGGTGGATATTTTTAACTTGAAAAAGTACTTACCTTAGTCCTAAAGCAGCATCTTACTTAATAGGTAAAATACTGGAGACATTTCCACTGAGAACAAGAATCACTTCTACCACTATGCAATATTGTACTAGAGGCACAAAGCAATGTGATTAGGCGAGCAAAATGAATTAGAAGCACAAAAATTGGTAAGGAAGTAAAACCATCTCTAGTTGCAGGTGATATGACGGTACACCCTGGGAAGTCTTAAATAGTCAATGATAAAACTCAAACAATAAAGGACTTCAGTAAGATAGGAAGATACAGAATTAACATACAGAAATAACTTGCCTTCATATAAACAGCACACAATGATAGAGAAAACATCATTTCAATAGCAACAAAAAATATTGCATACTTTAGGAATAAACTCAACAAGAAACATGCAAAAGCTAATAAAAAAAAAATTTAAATATGTTTTTATTGATTTCAGAGAGGAATGGTGAGGGGAAGATAGAAACATCAATAAGGAGAGCAAATCATCCATCGGCTGTATCCTGCACATTCCCTACTGGGGATCGAGCCCTGAAAATCAAACCGTGACCTCCAGGTTCATAGGTTGATGTTCAACCACTGAGCCACATATAAGAAAAAATTTAAAACACTCCTGAAAGAGGCTAAAGCAGACTCCTCTCGGTTAGGATGGCTTAATAGCATAAAGATGTCACTTGACTAAAATTCAATCTGAATCTCACAAATGCACAAGAATATACTCCAAATGGATCAGGAATGTATTTAAATTTAAAAATGAAACAATACAGCACTAAAAAAACAACACGGGTGAATTCATCTTTAACCTCAGCATAGAGAAAGGTTTTCTATTAACCTAAAATCAAGAGGCAGTAACAAAGTTTACTATGTAAAAAACGGAAGCTTTCATATTACAAAAACACACCCTAATCAAAGCTAAAAGACAATAATTGGGAGACGCTACTTATAACACATATAAAAGATAAAGAGTTAATATATAAAGAATTCTTAAAATTTGAGAAAGGACCAAAAGAACAATAGTAAAATGAAAATAACATGAATAAACTTAAGGATCTGAACATCATACAGATGTTCAAATGGCCCGTAAAATGAAGAAATATTTGACCTCACTGATAGCTGGAGATGCAAATTAAAACTACTCTGAAATATCATTTTTAACCTACCAGATTTGACAAAAAGTAAAGAGCGTGACATTCTGTTGGCAAGGCTGTGGGAAGAGGCACTCATACACTTCTAGTGGGAAAACAAACTGGCATAATCCCTTGGAGAATTTGGCAATATCTAACACAAGCAATCCTACCTCTGAGAATTTACTGAAGGAAGATACATCCCAACAATATGAAAATATACATGCACAAGGTTATTCAATTACAGAACTATAATGGAAAATAGTGGAAATTACATAAGTGCCCATACACAGACGAGAATTTGCATAAACTGGCATATTCACACAACAGAATACTTTGTAGCTGTTAAAAAAATTTTTTTTTGAGGAAGATCTGCATGAACTGGTAGTATACTGTAAAGCATACACACACACACACTGCTACATTTCATGTAAGAGAAAAGAGGGGAAAATACCCACATACTCATTTATTTTTTAAAAAGGATGAATGAGAAACCATAGAAAGATTAGCTACAGGTAATTACGATAGAAAGGACAGGAGAAAGAGGCTAAGATAGAAGAGATAGGGGTGATACTTTTGGGCAGTTCTCTGAGAACTATGCTAATGTTTTACATGCAAAAAAAAAAAAGAAATGGGCAGGCATTTATGATGAAATACAAATTAACTAATTGTATTATAAATAACATAACCATACTGAAAGTGGGAGCAGAGAAAAGAACCTACATAACTTTGCAAAACCGTACTTTAATTACGGATTCTGAGACTAAAACGAAAAGAACTATGTACAGATACTGCACTGGTTAGTAGTTTCTCATAGGAAAATATATGAATTAGTAGTTCTAGAAATTAAGCAAATAAGTGAACATGTTATGAATAGTCAAAGTCGGATTTCTTACTGCTGGATTAGTTACAAATATAGGAAGGAGGAAGACTAGAATGAACTGTGGTGTTGGTCTGGTATAGGAAGAATCAATATGAACTCATGGAGAGGCACACACATAGTACATGCGTAGACACACATACACATGCATATAGACCTGGAAATATAGATGTATACATACATACATTTTCTAGGTGTCCAGCAGCCTAGAAGCAACACCACCTTAGTGCCAGAGAACACATCTAGAGCCAATTTTGGCTCTGACTACCTTTCTCTGGTGAAAGGAACCATGGATGCTTAGAGAAATCACTAATTCCAAAGTTGGAGAAAATGAGTCCAGTACATCTTCTAGTGCCTAAAATTAAGAAAGTATTTTTAAAAAGGATGGGACATGTTGCCTTGGCCAGTGTGACTCAGTGGTTAATGTTGGCCCACACACCAAAGGGTTGCAGGTTTGATCGCTGACCCCAGTTGGGGTGGGTGTGGGAGGCAACCAATCGATGTCTCTCACATCTACATCTGTGTGTCTCTCTCCCGCTCTCCCTCCTTTCCACTCTAAAAGTCAATGGAAAAATAATGGGGACTTGTCAAAAAGACATGAGGGTCAAACTGAAAGGAATTTGCATGGGAAAACGTGGGACATTTTGAGTTACAAAATAATGGTAATGATGGGTTATAACTTACAGAATAACATAAGATTACTTGGACCCACTATCAATAAAATTGAGTAATAACAGGGAAGAAAATTTCACAGAATTTCAACCACTAAAAGAAGAAATGATAGAAATAGAAAATCATCATTTGGCAAATAGTATACTAACAATCATTTCAGGAAAGAATCAAGGGGGTTGGGGGCATGAATGCTTGCCAATTAGTGAGCAAAAAGTATGACGAGACATAGGATAGTTACATTGTTCTACTTATTTTCCCACAAGATACTTTTTTTAAAAAAATGTTTTTTACTTTAGAGAGGGAGAGACATCAGTTGGCTGTCTCTCACCGGCCCCCTACTGGGGGTGGAGCCTGAAACCTGGGCATGTATTGTGACTGGGAATCAAACCGGCGACCTCTTGGTACACGGGACAACGCTCAACCAACTAAGCCACAGGCTGGGCATCTCACAAGATACTTATTAACTGTAAACCCCAATAACAGGGTGTCTCAATTCTCCCCCCAACTCTGTCACATCCTTCTTTCCACTCAATGGAAAAAAAGTATCCTGGCAGTGAGAATTAACAACAAAAAATATTGTAATAGTCCGGCAGGCGTGGCTCAGAGGTTGAACATTGAACCTATGATCCAGGAGATTGCGGTTCGATTCCCAGTCAGAGCACATGCTGGGGTTGTGCGCTCGATCCCCAGTAGAACGGCATGCAGGAGGCAGCTCATCAGTGGCTCTCTCATCAGTGATGTTTCTCTCTCTCATCCCCTCTCTGAAATCAATAGACATATTTTTAAATATATATATATGTATATATATATTGTAATAATGTTAATTCCCTAATTTGAACAATTGTCCCATAAGATGTTAACATCTGGAGAACAGGGAAATACTTTCTATTTTTGCAACATGTTTTTTAAGTCTGAAATTTCTTCAAAATGAATATAAAAAATTTTAGAAGTATTTTCACTTGAACAGGAAACTTTAACAATCCCTCTACAGTATATCAAGCTAACCTTAATCATTAAAGAAAAAAACACTTGAAACTCATAGCCTTCATTTGTAATTAGTCAAACTAAATATGAATCTTAATTATAAACTGTACTTTAAGTTCAATTTTTCTGTTTAGTAAGATCTGACCTTTTCGGCAACAGCATTATAAACATTAAGAAAAAATACAGAGCTAATGGGTAGTAGACACTAGTAAGAGAGTACCTTCTAACACCTAGCTATGCCTTGGCAGGATTATTTTCTACAGCACAGGGCAGACAACACTTTGGCAGGGAGGAAAAGGATGCTGTAGAACTAAAGCTAAATTAGAGAGAGTCTAGTAAATAACAACTGAAACCCTCCCATTACCCTGACTAACAATCTAGGCAAGGGCAACAATTGTAACATTTGTCTCTTCTTTGTTTAAAAACAAAAAACCCCAGCAACAATTACGCGTAATAGAAAATAAGAACACTATTGAATTCGACAAATTTATTGGTATTTTAGTAAAGACATTCATCTCAGTCGTTTCTCCCTCCCAATAGGTTAATATTTCATTTGAGTCAAGAAAAGAATATGCAGGAGAGGGATGTTATTTTAACAGTAAAATACACAAAAATGAAAAGTCTGCCTACGTTAAAGCAAGTTAAATTCATGTATCTTGATATCATTAAATCAAGTAAGAAAGAACTAATAGTTCTATATACATTTCCATTGTTTTACTTGGGACTTACTCTAACAAATAAAAGTGAACAAAGTGTTAGGAATATATACAGGCTGCTTCTCTGGAGTTATCTTTTAAAAGAGCTGAGCGAGTAGTTACCACCAATAAGACAGTCTGAAGCTGCCTGCAAATTTAACATTGTAGAAGTTTTCAAGGAAATCATTATACTGCATTTTTCTTTTACGTATGACTATGCCTTTAAAGATGTGTTTAACTGTCACATTAAAAAAGAATTCATATACAATACAAAAATACAAAAAATAAAACAAAACAAAAACCCCAGAACAAAAACAACCCTACAACACATAAGCTCTAATGAAGTATATGTGGTCAGAGAGTCCATAAAATGTTTAAAGATGCATTTTCTTTCCTTCTATTTTCAATATCTAAAATGTGCTTTTGAGAGGCCACTGGTAAATATGTATACACTTAAAACAAACAAACCATTTTATTGTATTAAATAAGAATTCCTGTAGTTAAGTAAAAATCAAATTGGATTTCCCAAGTTAGTAACTTAAATGTTATGACAAAGTTACAGAAAGTGCATCTTTCTCATTTTCCATCTTCACACAATGTTGCTTTTTTGCTGTTTGTTACCCTTTTAAAAAATAAAAACAGCCAAATATTTACGTATTATGTACATTTAAAATTTTTTGGTGGTGGTTTGTATTTTAAAAGAAACAGCTTCCTATGACTTGCCTCAAGTCTGTTGGAAATGCTTTACAGAAACTAAGCTAATGACAAAAACCAAGAGAAGCACATTCAAAATACTGATTTACTTTGGTAGCAAACGGTTGTTTTTTGAAGACTAATGAAGGTAGACAAGACCCATTAAGGTGAAGTGGGCTATATCAAATACTCAATAGTTTACATAAAATTAAAAAAATTTTTTTTTAAAGAGCTAAGCCTCTGTATCCACTGATAGCAATGCAATATCGAGTTTATGACTTGAAACAAAATAAATGCCCATTAGGAAAAAAAGCAATATTTTAATTTTATCTAATTTACTTTCAGTCAATACTCCAGTAACATTTTCCTCCCAATACAATACTCCCTTCTCTATAAGGCTGTTCCTGGGAGCCAGAAAGTTTAGGTTTAGGGAGTTAAGTTAGAGAGTAATTGCTTGCAGTTTAAACAGACAATAACTTTTTGCTTCCCTCTTAATGTGCTAATAGTTGAGTCTAAAAAAATATGCAATTCTTAGAAAGGTACCATTTCTGATTTTTTTTTAAATTATCTGTAACCTTTGGAAACTAATCACATGAAACTACAAAATTAGCAAATGTCTTGAAATCTGCATATAAAACATAAATTACGTCTAATTTCAAACTCTCATTTATTAGTGTACCACTCAATCTTAAAAAAAAAAAAAAGGCGGCTCCAAAGATAGTCTTATACCATTCTTTAAAAAGGAAACTGTTCCTTTTACTTTACACCCACCCCACACCCCAATTTCAAAACATATCATTTAATTGTCTTGGTCATGGACATTTCCAAGATGAGATTTTATATTTCGCTCCCATAGCTTCTGGTTATCAGAAAACCCATGCTTTCCTTTATTAAAGGAGTTTGGTCCTGCTGATGTTGGTGTATCCCTGTGTTAAAAGAAAAGACATTTATTTAAAATGTTATACAAAGCCTTTTGGGCCATGTCTTTAGCTCATTCAAAGCATATTTACTTAGCACTTATTATAATATTATAAACATAGGCTGAACATCAGAAGCCCCTACAAAGGTTTTTAAGAACTTACTTTCCACTGGCCCAGTCTTAAAATTCCCCAGATTCCATAGGCCTAAGGAGGGACCAGGTAAGTCTGTAGTTTTAACAAACATTTAACATGATTATGATACATAGCTAAGGGTGGCAACCATTATAGTTTAAAAACTGTTGCTTGCAACCCACTAATAAGGTCATGAAATTAATTTGCTGGCTTGCCATCAGCACTTGTAAAAAATTAAATGGAAGAAAAACATGAAGATGTACCACACAGAAAGGCTAAGGTCATTTTATGAGCTCTTTCAAGTTTACATGTTTAAATTAGATGTATACTGGGTGTTTAGAATGGGTTACAATGCCAAATGTATTTCTTAGGTCCCAGTATCAAAGGAAGGTATCGGGACCTAACTGTCCCACTGGGACTGTTCTCATTCGAATCATAGACTGAAAATCTGAAGGCTGATGCATGTTTATGGACTTGGCAATTTGTTCTTTGGAAGTTTATACATGAAGTAGAAATGGGGACATAATATGGGTAGATTTAAAGCTAAACTTCCTTATTAGCCTCTAAATTAACCACTTATGTCCGTACAAAGACAGGAAGCTGAACCTAATGTTAACTTGAAATTGACATTATTTTCATGACAACAGAAACAATAAAGGAAAATTAAAATACTTTTGTTTTGGTACTTGACATTTAAGTTACCAAGGACAAAAGGGCATTATGATCATCAAGATTAAGTGATGAGAATGATATCACAAAATTAAATGAGTGAAAGCTGTTTCTTATTATACCAGAAAAAAAATTTTAATTTTAAATCAGGAACATTTCTCATTAGCTATTTATTTGAAAAAATATATACAGATTACATGTATCTGAAAAGAAATAGCCTTAAATTATTAATTTTTTCTTAAGATACTCGTAAGATCACTGATAATTCACAAAACCCAAATAAGCAAGAAAAGCCTGAACACGAAAAGGTTATGTGTAATTTATTCTTGCTCTTAATTCACCATCATGTTGTACAGTATTTATGAAAAATTATAATACCTTCCAATATTCTTCATCCTCATCTTTGCTTCTGGAGGCATTTCCTCTGGTTCGCTCTGGAGAAAAGAAATAGAAGTAAACAGGGATAACTACATATAGATTTATTAAATTCACTTTACGCTAAATTTTTTATCTAAGTCTTTTAGCATTTTCAATACTGTAACTTTTTGTAAAAAAAGAAATTTATCTTAACTACATTATAAAAATGTACTTATCCTAATGATGGTTTTGCATTAAAATTTTTGGTAAAGCCTGTCCATTGTGGCTCAGCAGTTGAGCATCAACCTAGGATCCAGGAGATCGCAGTTCAATTCCCAGGCAGGGCCCATGCCAGGGTTGTGGGCTCAATTCCCAGTTGGACGCATGCAGGAGGCAGCCAATCAATGACTCTCAATATTGATGTTTCTCTCTCTCTCTCTCTCTCTCTCCCTCCCCTCCCCCTTCCTCTCTCTGAAACCAATAAAGATATATTTTAAAAAGACCCGGCATAAAGGGATTTCTATTTGTCATATCTGGGAAAATTTGAGCATTGTGGAATAAAATAAGAACCTATGAACCCACACTTATATAAATAAGGGGAAGCTCTTCTTTACAGTAAGAGACAATAAACAGAGAGGACGAAAGAATTAGAAAAATCAACACTTGGCAAATATTAAAATAACTGATTCTGGCAAGAATCACCAATGGATGTTAACACTCAAGAGTAAGTGCTTAAGAAATTATATATTTTCACATATTCTCAAACCATATCTCTGATAAGATAAACTTTAATTAGAAAGGTAAAATAGTAATTTGATGGTACAGAATTCTAGCAAACATCACTTTAACCAAATGATCAAAGTTAAAACTGCCTGTAATGGGACATATTGATAACATGTGCTCCCTGATATGATGCGCTGAGAACTTGGCATGACTTCTGTGGTATTCCAGCTATAAGAGATGTGAATCTAACCATGAGAAAACACCAGACAAATCCAACCTGAAGGACATTCTACAAAATAACTGACCCAAACTCTTCAAAAATGTTAATGCCATGAAATACACAGATACTCAGTGACTGTCAAAATTAAAGGAGACTAAAGAAATACAATAAATAATTTTTTAAAAATGTCCTCTTTGTTCAATATATTTCAGGCTTAGATATATATTTGAGGTTACTTAACCATATTCTACATAAAAAGAATCAGATAAAGATTTTATTTTGTGTATTTCAGATATTAGTCCTTTGTTAGCTTTACCTTTATTTATTTTAGAATTTTAAAAATGTTTTGATTTTAGAAAGAGAGGAAGGGAGAGGGAGAGAAACAGCAATCAGCTGCACAATCCCTACTGGGGATGGACCCCAAACCCAGGAATCAAGCCCAGTGACCTCTCGGTGCATGGGATGATGCTCAACCCGCTGAGCCATACTGGCCTGGGCTATTTCAGAATTTAAAAAAGTTTATTTGAGCCAAACTGATGATGTATGCCAGGGAACAAATCTCAAATGCTCCCCTCTTTGTTGGTTTTATTTTTTATTGATTTTTTTTTTTTTTTTTTTTTTT